ACTTGCTATGCTTATATCGATGTACGCTTGATTTCATTCCTTTGTCTATTCTTTTKTTCGACATGCTTATGTCGTAGTGTGAACAGGCCCTTAGTACGGGTTGTCTGTGGTCAACAAGTGTAAAGGCGGTGTTTAAATGCATGATAATGTTGTTTCTAAGGAAACGACACAAAATCAACAGCACATTATTTTAATGCTTGTCATTTGACAATATATCAATAACATTAATTATACTTAATAATATCTGTACATAGTCTATTCTGTGAAGATTTCATTTTCGGAAGCAGTTCCATATCTCATCATAAGACAGTCATCCTCGAATAGTTTAATTAGAAAAACTAATGATTGATAAATAACAATTAATAATAGTCTCCTTCACGGATACCTGCGCCATCTTGAAAGGTAGCCGTGCCTTTGCACCGAAGCGAGACGACCGTTGAGCGAGCAATGATAGATACCTGTGAATAATTGTCTATAGGTGTGAAAAGAGGTTTCTATCATTGCAAGCTCAACGGTTGTCTCGCTTCGATGACAAGGCACGGCTACCTTTCAAGATGGCGCAGGTAACCGTGAAGGAGACTATTCTCCTATGAGATCTATCCTATCCGTATAGACCAAATGTCCGGAACGTATTCGAAAAAGCCATTCGTAATGCAATCGTATGATATCGTAAAGTGATCGTTTCTATACCGGACTTATGGATGTTGCTTCAGATGATGAAATCTCCAATAATTACCTAAAACTGTTTCTACCAAAATACTTTACAGACTCTACAACTATCTTTTCATTGCAATTTATACATTTTTATTGTTCTCGTTTCTTAGTGTTACTAAAATTGACTGTACATCTCCCTGTAAGGCTCAAATTTTGTTCATGAAATTTCTTTTGGGGGAGGGCTAGGGAGAGGATTTTGTAGGAAACCAGTCTTTTGAGAAATTAAGACTATAAGGCGTCTCTTATTTTATACTATTTTTGCTTTACAATTGTAAGTATTTACTTTTCTGTATTTTGTTCTTAGTGTAGTTTCCTTTTATAACTATAGCTAAAAATCTACTGCATCTGACAGTTTTTTATTTTTTTGTGACGGAATGTTTACTTTTAAACGGGAATTGTGAAGAAATATACCGAATTTAAAAACGTTGACGGATCCAAAAAGTTGACATAGTTTAAACTAAGACCGAAGAGAATATTGGGTACTGGGGAATTGGAATATCATGTTTGACTGGCTTGTCAATCAATGACATTTCTCATAAAGAGGGCCTGTCAGTTCGTAAAGTACTGTCACGTGATTATACCGATCAATTGTCTTCCCGTGCTCCCTTTCGGTTTTAGTTTTAAAACTCGTTACGACTGGAAACATTTTGTAAATTAGGTTTGTATTGTTGTAAAAAACCTTCAACGTCTGGATCAGAGTGCAGCTCAATAAGAATTCAGACTTATTAAGGAAAGATATCGCAAGCAAAAAGAACTCATTGAAAATGCGGACATCTTTCTCTCGTTTGTAAGATGAATACTCCATTTTCGAATTCTAAGCGAACAACCGCTGTTTTATTTGACAGCAGATTCTCTTACGCAAAGAACCTACCAAAACACAAATAAAAGCACGAGAAAATGTTGTACGTACAATAGCGCTGACAATTTACATTTTCCCCAAGTTGAGGCTAACCCTGTATTCCCAGAAGGCTCATACCTTAAGTCTTATGGGAATACAGGGTTAGTCTCAACTCGGRGAAAATGCAAATTTTYAAGKCTATTGTAATAACGACATTTTCTCGTGCTCTCTTTTGTGTTTGGTCAGGTCTTTGCGCAACAGAATCTGTAGTCAAATAAAGCAGCGGTTTTTCGCTATCAATTCGAAACTGGAGTATTGGGTTTGAGGGGRAAAAAAATCTCGGTCAAACTCAGTATCAATGTTTGATCACCCACACGAAATCATGCTTGCACAAGCTTATTATCAGCAAATTCTGTCCAAATGGTTCAAACGTTGCGAATGTTGCTCTCGATAACAAAGAAAAGTGCCCAAAGTGGCTTGCAATTTTTGTTTTCTTGAGTGATCGTTGGAATTGACCGAAGTGTGAAATCACACAGTTTGTTAGTCCAAATGAATGTGCGTTCTTATAATTTTAGTATAATTGTTTTCATTTCTGTTGAAGAAATTGAAAAGTAACAATTCTATAAGAAATCACCTCAACACGGAAGCCATGGTCCTCGACTCACGTCAACATCGTCTCAAAGAAGCTCAATGCCTGATTTTATACCGTGGGACACTGTATACAAGTCACTCAATGCATGATGGTGGAATACCAACCTCGAGGAGATAAGGGCCTGGGAACGAGGTTGGATTAATACGACCAATATAGAACGAAAGATTGATTACGAAATACTAATTGTCCGAATTGTGGGTTGGTCAGCTCAATTTTAAACAATCCTTTCAAAAACGCTAGAATTTCCGAAGAAATGTATAGAATGCCGGACGCCCCGGATCTTTCTAAATTCCCATGGCATTTCTTTGTAAAATCTAGAATTTTTGAAAAGCTGCCAATCGTCCGATTAACACTAAACTTTGTGAGTTTCTTATTTACTGTGCGATCTTTCGTTCTATATAATTGAATATATTTGTTATCTCACCAGTCTCCCACGGTATGAAATCKGGTAATGGACGGCAACCCTGAATACGTCCCATCTATCCGCGCGGCGCGCGCATGAAACCGAGGTCAGGGTTTGAAACCAACCGGTTGAAAAATCTTTTTTAGCAACTAAACCTGAACACATAAACTACTTATAATTGCCGTTGCTTTGACTATTGATTTGTATTTAAAAGGCTAGGCATCGAATATTGGACCAGCTACAGTTGGCGAAGGTCTCAATGGCTGTAAAACGCACGGAAAAGAATACAGACCCATCCCTGATCCCTAGTAAAAGATTAAAAAAAGCCGTGATTTTACATCGGTTCGAGAGACCGATAATTAGAACACGAGGCCGAGTGGAGTAAGAATAGAGAGCGAGACTGAGTGGTCTGATTCGAGTTCAGTAAACTGTGTAGAASAAACAAAAACAACAACATTTCCGCTTTTTTTTTTTTCCAAGTGCGACTATAGTCTACAATCAGAATTCTGCTGGATTCGTTCCGTTGAAGTATACAAATCACAATATTCACATATATAATGTACTATCATTGGTTCACACTTTATCTCACTTTGATCAAAGTCAAAGTACGACTATAATCATTACCTTTCAAGATGGCGTAAGGAACAGCTAAAGGCCGTCATGGATACTATTACGGCAATCGCAAAACGGTTCAAACTCCCTCGAAAACTTTGGATTTTTCGACCGCTGATATTGTCGGACGAGCTTTACATCTATTTGTCTGTACCAGTGATAAAAGGCAACAGGAAATCATGTCCAACAGCCAAAGAACAGCCGTATTTACCAGAAAACCTCGCCACAGATATCAACCTACGACTAGATTGCTATCTTACTCACCATTTTTTAACCCAAAGGTCGAGCGACAGTCCTGTATTTTTTGTTTCAAAGTTGCATCCGCATGATAAAAAAAATAGAAAATGAAAAAAAGGAAGATTTTTTTAGTCGCCATTTGTTTTGTYAGTAGTGTTTGGTCGACTTCATGGAGTAATCAGTTGGAGTTTTTGCTCTTTAAAAAAATAATATYAATAATAACCTGAGGTTATTTCATATAATATCGAAAACAGCAAAACAARCATGAAGTGGATATTAGTTGAAAAAAAGTTATCAACCAGCGGTTTGTTAATATTTTCTAAAGGCCCGCAAACACTTGCAATTTTTGCAGCGCGATAATCACCACTTTGCCATCGAGCAACTCAAATCGTACATGTAAACAGCCCTGCGATTGTTGAGGCGACGGAAATCGCCGCAAAGTTGCAGAAAATTTTTAAGCATGTACGATACGCAGCCGATGGTCGCCACGACGCTCGCCGCAATAATCGCTCTGCAAAATTCGCAAGTGTAAACGCGCCTAAACTCTGACACCGGTTTCTTCGCTGAGCACGCAAAAATTTGTGAAACGCATACAAGAATGCCAATCAATAATGACTTGAAGACCATATCGGCCCGCACCAAACATAGAATTTCGCCAAGTAACCCGTAAATGGAGACATTAATCCCTTGTAGTATGAAGAAKAAGGCAACATTTGRATGCACAAAGGCGTCCATAATCAGATGCAAAACGAAGAWAAGTCTCGAGTTGATGCTGTTTTACTAGTTGAAGTACAAGCAAAAGCTGTTGTGATTTATTGGATCATCTTCAGTAAAAATCTGAAACAAACAATGACRAAATAAGTACTGCGTTAAAAATCATTGATGAWYTTTGATACTTGGCCTAGTGYCATTTTATAACCCTTCACAATCGCCAGAAAGTGTTTTTGTATGGTTCTGGTTTCTTCAAGGGAATAAACAACAATGCAAATAGCTTTTTATGGTGATAAGGAAGATTATATTTGGACACTAGGACATAATTCTATTACTTCCTTCTAAAACTTTTAGGGACGTATATAAGTTGTAAACAAGTTGTGCGCGTCCTACATACAACACGAATTGCGTCGTGTAAATCAAGCCTACAACTCACTACAACTACCTAAGTCAAGTTGTAAACAAGTTGTGCGCGTCATACATACAACACGAATTGCGTCGTG